ACCTGAGAAGCCATGAGAAAAATGTCCTTGTGCCAAACCAAAGACCAATGTTTTAAAAAAATTCAAAAGCCTGAGACCTTTTGGAAAAATGCCCACATGTTTAGAGGGTTTTCTCAACCAAACCAACCTTACAACATTCTGAAGAGAGAACAGCTGGCCCTCGTGGAAACCCACAGGGAGGCCACAATTACAGAACAATGGGTGGTCTTTCTGAGCACTTTCACCTGAGCTATCCCATGAGCTCCTCTCAATAACCCAAAGAGGTAAATGCAGTGGCATTACGTCAGTGTCCACTCCCACTGAGGGGCCAAGGACAGGCCCGAGGCCACAGAGGCAGGACTGCAGAAAAGCAAGCTCCAACCCACAGCCCCACCGGGGTCCTTCCACGGTTGCAGAGGAAGTGCATCCAGAGGCAGCAGTTCCCCCTCCCCGCCCCTGCCCGCCACTGGGACCAACAGTGGATTTCTACCATCCCTTCCTTTTAAAGCCTCAACAGGCTGCAGAGTTTAAGCGGGGTTTCAGGTTTTCCAGTTGTAAAAGGAAATCATCCTGCCTAATGCCACCTTGCACTTGGATGCATGCAGCTCGAGCCCTTGGGGAGAGGGACTCAGAAGTACACGCTCTAGCAGGGAGCTTTCTCCCCACACAGCCCTCCCACTTCTAACATACCGTGTTCCCTATCTGCTTCCCTTGTAGATGGGGAGCTTCTTCACAGCTGGGACTGTGTCGTTTGGGTTTTGTCTGTCTCGTGCCTAACAAGTACTTTATAAGATTAAGTAGGCTCTATTCCCAGTGCACAAGTCAGTCACCCGATAGTGTACATTATTGTGTAACATGGCATATTAGCATAAATATGCTTAGCATCTAGTGTATTAGCACACATATGCCAGACACTGTTCTAAGAACTCAGAAGCACTAACTCACTTAATCCTCTTCGCAGCCCCTTGAGGTAGGTTAGGCACAGCGAAGTTAAATAACTCATCAGAGGTGACACTGTTAATAGGTGGAAGTGGCAGAGCATGGCCAGGAAGTGAAATCTGGCAGTCTGGGTCCCGACTGGTGCTCTAGTCACCATGCTACTTTGCATCTCTGTTGTGTGGTATGTGAGTAACAGACAGGAGAGGAAAACTTGGGCTTGGGCAAGACATTCGACTTCTCTGGACCTTAGTAAAGACAGGAGGCTGGTCTAGGTGACATATGAAAGGTCCTGTCAAACTGTAACATCTTTCCACTGTGCTTCACCATAACGTGATCACCCACCTGGGACAGAGGGCTTGCATCCGAGTTCTTACACATTAAGAGAAAATAATGGTTGTCTTAAGAGCCAAAGTACATTTAGTTTAGTCTGCAAAGCAGCAAGGTGGAGATCCCTACAGCCATTAGAACACAGGCAAGAGCCCTCTACCTGTGGCCTGTATTCCACCTTCACCCCCACCAACATCATCTTCTAGAGAAATCTGAGCATCGGCCACTCCTCTCCTCTTACAGGGCCAAGGACTACAGAAACTTTTACTTTGTTCTCCACTTTTCTAAAGAACTGCTCTTATACCCCAATACTCCTCATAGCAGCCCTACCTCACCCCTTACTCCATCCTAGGCCAACAAATGAGTTGGGATATGGACATGTGTACGCATACAGGGAAGGAGGATTGGCCAGGAGTATAATTATTTTGCTAATTTCTTCACTGGCTCCCTTTGGCCATCATTAAGTCAAGGAACAATCAAAGCAAAGAATGATCCCATCTCACAGGCCTGAGCCCATCCCACAGCTACTGCTGTGGGAGGAATCTGGGTTCCTGAGATGAGCCCTGTATCAGCCAGCTATTGCTGCATAACAACCATGAAATCTCCATGGCAACCAATAACGAGCATTTATCTATTGCTTATACAACTACACATCAGTGAGGTTTTGCTGATCTCATTGGGCTCTGGCTGCAGGTTCAGTTCAAGTCTGTCTGCATGTCCCTTCTCTGGGACTTATGAGCTATGTGGGTCATACTGCATGGTCAGGAGCTGCCAGAGGAGTGGTGGGAACACAGGATGCCCTGCGAGGCCCAGGCTGGAGCTCACACACTCCCATGTGAATGAGGAGCACGTGGAGCAGACTTGAACGGAACCTGCCACCTGGCCTGCTACTGCTCCCTCAGCTCTCATGGGCTTGCATGTGCTGTGCCTGCCGAGCATCACTTCAGAGCTGCCTGCAGAGAGGCAGAGGAAGACAGTCAGGGCCTGATTTGAGAGCCCTGGCCTCCAAAACGGTCACATTCCCCTCAACTCTGATGATATCTCTGGGATAGTTCAGTCACCCTTTCTTGTTTTGTGAGGTTCGTTGACTGGCTTATTTAACTCTCATTTAAATTAGAAACTCCAAAGCACAAACTAACAGAAATTACCATTAACTACTGGGACATAAAATGGTTTGCTGAGTCAGACAGATGTCAAATTCAAAACCCAGCTCTACCACTTATTGTTTGAGTGACTCTGGACAATTTGCTTCCACTCTGAGTCTCAGGTCCCTCCTCTGTAACATGAGAATGGCAACACAGAAGCCAGCCTTTGGGTGCCCCACCCCTGTGCTCTCAACCCCTACCACTTCTGTGATGTGGCCAGCACAGAATACCTGGAGTCGTCCTGCAAGAGGGGCGAGGGGTGTTTGTTTGTTTGTTTGTTTGTTTTTTGAGACAGGGTCTCTGTGATCTCTGTGCATGGGGGTTTTCCCAGCCAACACACATGGCAGAACAGGATGCAGGTAGATAGAGACTCTAGCCCAACTGGGAACAGTGGCTCACGCCTGTAATCCCAGCATTTTGAGTGGCCAAGGCAAGACGATTGCTTGAGTCCAGGAGTTTGAGACCAGCCTGGACAACAAATGAGACCTTGTCTGTACGTAAAAAAAAAAAAAAAAAAAAAAAGCTGGGCATGGTGATGTTCCCCTGTAGTCCCAGCTACTCAGTAGGCTGATGCAGGAAGATCACTTAAGCCCAGGAGTTTGAGGTTGCAATGAGCTATGATCATGCCACTGTACTCCAGCCTGGGCAGCAGAGCAAGATCTTGTCTCTATTTAAAAATATGTATATATATAGCCCCTTGACCCTCAGGCAGGACAACTCCAGGTGTGCATTCTGCACCAGGTAGCACATCCTTCATGGGCTGCCTTCTCTTGCCTTTCTTACGTCCCCACTGTCCCACTCGTGTCATCTAGAATAACCTCCAAAATATACTACTTGTAATCAAACCCAAGTGGAAAAAAAACTATTTTTCAAGAGTTTTGTGAAGATTAAATGAGCAAGTGTGAAAAGTGCCCAGACCAACACCAGCCTACTGATGATCCTGCAACTGCTTAATAAAAAATAACTTAGATATGCGTGCCATGGTCGATACATGTACACATGGACATTCGACCCCATCTCCCTCTTCAAGAGCTGCCCTTTTGCTTATGCAGAGGGATCACTGGGGACAGCAACGGGTCCCTATTTCACAACGCGTCATCTCCTGGGAAGACTGAAGTGCCGTCCTACTGTACAACTGGTTTGGGTTCAGTGATCGCCACCTCCACCACCCCTGCTGAGTCCTTCACTTTCTCCAGCCCTATGAGCTACCCAACCAGCGGTTCCAGGGGTTTTCCCTTTTCCTCCTGAGGAAAGAGGAGGAATAAGCTGGGGCAGTCAGAAGACAGTCTTGACACATTATTTGTATATCTGAAACTAACTATCCCTCCTCTCTTGATTGATATTATCATCTGGTTTTAAGATAAAGTTTGCTTTTCCTCTGACTGGAATAAGTCAGATATAAACAGGGTCAGAGTCCGATTTTCCCACACAACCCAGTGAGAGCTGATCAAATGCTGATACAGAGGAGGAAAAAACAAAAAAGGCTCACCCTCACAGGAGTGGGCTTCTACCTCCTGTGGGGAGCCGGCTGGCTCGTCTGTGGGGGCCACCTGAGTCCCCAGAAGGGCCCTGGAGGGTCCTCCATGAGACAGAAAAATGCAGTGTCCAGACAGCCTTTCTCAGAGCCCTCTTTGGTGGCCACAAAATTTGAAACCTGGGAAAACCCAGGGAGGCCCAAAGGCAAGGTGGACAAGAGCCAGTGAGACTTTGGTCCAAACAAATAAATTGGGGGGGGGGGTGGAAATTAAGAAATAAATAGTCCAGCACTTAGAGAAGGAACAGGTTCAGCTCACTCAAAGTTAGGCTAAGAAAACCTGAGAGCATGCGCTATCAAACCAAAGAAAATTACAGTAGTTTCTGAATGCTTAGTGCTCAAATTAGACTAGGCTAAATAGTGATCAACTCGTCCTCAATGCCCAGGCATGGGAAGGTTCTAAGCAGGAAGCCTGAGAAGATACACTTTCCTTCCGAGACCCCACGTGCAGCTTGGGGAGGAGCTCTTAAAACCGCGTTAAGGGTGCACCTGGTTCTGCAGCGTCTGCCAGGGTTCCAGGACCACATGAGAAGTCAGTCTTCAGTTGTCATGAAATGACTGTCTGGGGGTGTTAAGTTTCTGTCTAGCTGCTGCTTTATGAATCCCATGTCACCTCTTCCCCCGGCTCGGGACACCTGTCCGTGGTGCAGCCAGGAGCTGTACCGGAGCTAATGACGGACTGGGAGCTGCACGGAGCTGTAGAGATCATCTGGGCCAACGCCTGAATAGTCAGACGAGGAAACTGAGGTCCAGAGAGAGAGAGTTAGTTTCCCAAGCCCAAACAGCATCTGGCAGTGCCAGGAAACCAAGGGATTTGCTTGGTCACTTGGCTGAGGCTTGGTGAATTTCCATCTCTGGAACTTCATAAAGCATGGCCAACACCATGGGCTCTGAGGCAGAGGTGTGCAAGGCTCGGGGGGCCTCAGGTGCACCGAGAGACAACGTGGGGACAGACGGTGCTGCCCTCTTGTTAGCATTTAGAAAGCTGGGGGAAATGTTCAGGTGGTGGCATGGAGAAGGAAAGGTGTTTAGGGCAAGAGGTGGGTAGGGGCTGAGGGGAGTCAGTCCAGGCTCACCTTCATAGCAAGGGATCAGCGTCCTGCCTTTGGCCTGGAGGTTGGATGGGATGATATAGCAGAAGCCATGGGGCAGGATGTGGTCTGTTTCATAGTAGATGTTCTTCCAGCGGTGGGCACAGGCCTACAGGGACAAAGAGGGGTTGAGAGCAGGAAAGTCGGCCCTGAAAGGTCACAAAGCAGACCCCTGGCAATGCCAGGTGGTTCTTTCTGTTGGGGGAGAGAGGAATACAGGGGCCAGGGAGCTACACCTTCACACCAGGCATCCCTGAAAATCATATGAACGAGAAGCAGCCCCTGGGAGGCAACTAGGAGGAGATAGACAATAAATAAACATATTGACAAATGAAAACTATAGTTAGTACTGGGAAGAAATGGTTATGGAACAGAGAATCTGGGAGCAGGAAGGATGGTTTTGACCAGGGGTCAGGGAAGGCCTAAAGCACAAGAAAGCACTACCCACACTGAGCACACAGGAAGGGAGTTCCAGGCAGATGGAATAGCAGGTGCAAAAGACACAAAGTGAGAAAGCCTCAGAGGTTCAAGGAAAGAGAGGCCGGTGGGGCTGGTCTGGAGTGATCATGGTGGTAGGGAGACAAGGTCGGAGAGGGGCCGGGGGCCAGGCCCCAGAGGGCCACAGGAGCAACTGTGACTTCAGTGGACATGCAGTGGGAAGCTGGTGTTGAGGCTTGCACAGGGGAGTGGTGCGATCCCATTTACAGTCTGGAAAGGTAATTTGGCTGCCATGTGGAGACTGCAGGTGGGCAGGTGTGGAAAGAATATCCAGGTGACAGGCCGTGCTGGCCTGGAGCAGGATGGGGCACTGGAGGTGGGCCAAGGGCGTGGCTTCAGGATGCACCCAGATGTAGAGCTAGTGGGCCCCAGGGAACAGCCAGATGCCGGAGAGCAGGAAAGGGAGGAACTGCCGATATTCGACTGTGTTTTTACCTACAGAAATGCACCTACAACATGCATCTCATTAACCAGAAGTAAATGTTTGTGGATGGTTCTTTTTTCGATGTAAATTTACACATCGCAAAATGCACAAATCTCAAATGTATCATTTAACAAGCTTTAACAAATGTGCATGCTCATGTCATCAAACCCCTAGCAAGACATAGAACATTTCCATCTCACCAGGCAGTTCCCTTATGCCAGGGAGTGTCTGGCTTTGACTGGTCAGGGAAAGTTGTCTGAGGAGAGACCCGAGGAAGTGAGGGAGTGGCTGGGGGAGACCTAAGGGAAGGTTCTGGGCACAGGGTCTTAGGCCGGGTGAGCAGCAGGCACGCATGAGGAGATGAGGCCATCAGGGACAGACAGACCTCCTAGCTGGCTTTGGAGAGCAGCCTCTCAGTGCTGGGGTCAAACCTACATGAGGCGCTGTGAGGCAGGGCAGTTCTTGCCAACAGACCTGGACCCGGTGCCAGCAGCTGGAACATAGACCTGGCTCATCCTTCCGCCCCACCGAACACGCCCCGGCCTCTGGCCTGGACGTGACAGCGGCCCCAGTTTGCATGCGTGTCTCCATACATCCAGATGCCACCACAACACCATGAGGAGCTGGCCTGCTCACCCGGAGGCACGCACCCTGCCCAGCCACTTCTCCTGGGCACTCACCACTCACGCCTGTCATTGGTTCGCTTCACTCTGGCCAGTGGATGCATTTTCTTAAAATACCACATTTTAAATAATCAGAGTTTTTTTAACATCTTGGTTTGTTTCCTTCAAACACAGTGTTTCTCTAAGTTATAACATTCAGAGTTCTATGGTCTCCCTTTGACCTCTTCCACAAGCCTGCAAGGTGGGCAGAGGTGACTTAGAATTACAGTGTTCTGTTTGGGAACACTGAGTATCCGATAGTGCTCTAAGTGGCAAAAGTCAGTAAATGCTGCAAACAGGACTGGACTCCATGGATTCTGAGTCGTCCTTGTCTCATTATAAAGCATTTTCTATCTTAAAACTTCTCATCCCTTCCTGAGAAACCATCAAAATCCACCCACACTCCCATACCCTTGAGGCAGGCCTGGTGGCTGTTTATTGTCCTTACAGCTCCACCCCACCCCACCCCACCCTGCCCCAGGACACCTGAAATAACCACACTGGGGTCCAATGGAATGCCCAAGATCACCACGTGGGTAAGGGGGCACCCTGAGGTCATTCCATGATAAAATCACTGCCTTCTAAGCCCTCTGCTCTTCATCCTTCCAGCCAACTGCCACTAGGGCCCCTGACAAGGCCACTCTCTGCCCAATGGCACAGAGGACACACTCGGAATGACTCTCGAAGCCTTAGCTTGCCCACACTCCGCCTCTCGCCCTGTGACATCAAACTACAGAAAACAATCTATTGTTACGCCTTCTGCTGCAACCCATCTTCATTCCCACTTGGTACTGTTTTGTGTTAAAATAGCACATTTCTGAATAGACTGCAACAATATGGGACAAGGAACTACAAAAACATATCACTAAGCAGATAATCGCTCCATACTGCCAAGTAATTGATTTTTTTTTTTTAAGTTCTGACTCAATTCTGATGGTTTGCCAACTTGAATTGCTTATTTTCATCTAATTTGTGGGTAAATTAGTTCTATTTTAGTTTACAGACTCAGCAAAGCCCTTGGCTTGGAGAGCTGACCACGTTTTATCATGTTTCTAAGTCGAAGAGACCAGGAAGAGAGCCTGCCAGCCAGCTGCACGCTGACACTTACTTATGAGGCAGGACTTGCTGCAACTCACATCTAGGTTATTGTCGCCTCATTTTTTTAAGTGCCAAAAACTACTTAAGGAGTGATCCTGCAGAATTCCTAGAAGATTCAAATATTGCATTTCACAGTAAACTAAAATTAAAGCATTCCAGGAGGTCAGAAATCAAAGTGTCAAAGGCAGGATCCACATAGGAAAATAATGAAAAGTCTCTGTGAATATAAATTATAGGAAGAAAAGACTATGTTTAGCCCTGATTATCATTATATATACACACGTTTCAATTTGACCCCTACATAAAAACAATAAAATTCTTAAGAACTGTCTCCAAAGCATTAGCAACTCCATCAATCTCTCCAAATGAGTTCTGTTGTGAGGGAGGGATGAAGAGAACTGGGAAGAATAAGAAAAGAAGAACATTCTCTGGAAACAGCAGGACCTACTCAAACTCAGATTTCAAATAATCGTAAGAAAAGGGGAGGAGGGCCTAGCACCACTCCAAATCCTACAATCTGATATATTTCAAGTTCTAAGGATTGTTTTCCCTCTCAAAAGAAGAAAAAAGAGAAAGAAAATGAACATTTCAAAGGCCTTTTTTGTTGTATGGAAACAGCTCGTCCTTCGGTGTATGGGGGGGCTGTGCTGGGCCTCTCAGGGCTGCTCAGCCACAAAGGCACGTCAGCCCCACCCCACCTCTCCTGCACGTGCACCCGCCATGTAGAGATGGCCAAAGCCTCCATCACACTTCCAAGTCCAGAGCTCACAGCCACAGCCAGGTCAGGGCTCCTGAGAATGACAGGTGGTGGAAACAGGATCAGAGTGATGCTGTGATGCCACTAGACTCCCCCAAAGCAGCCCCCCAGCTAAGGGAGGAGGAAGCTGCCAGGGTGGCACTGGGAAGGGGCTTCTGGGGTGCTGAGAATGTTGTTCTGAGGATGCTCACCTAGTGAAAATTCATCGAGGTGTACACTGATGATCTGTGTACTTTTTCACATGTGTGTTAGATAGCTCAATAAAAAGTTTGCTGAAAAAAAAAAGTCAGGAAACAGAGCAACAGAAGTAAATGCAAAAATGTACCCTGTGGCTTTGAAAAAAATGGACAGATGGGAAGCGGTGAACAGATAGGGACAGCCCTGATGTTTAGAAAGGAAACGGCAGAGAGATAGAACCAGAGAACACTGCTTCCACCCAAAAAGAATCTGGCAACTTAAATTATTTGTTGTCTGAGCCTTGGCAACTCTGATGAAAAGGAGGGACATCAGACTTGAAAGTTTTGAGTTGCCCTCCAAGGTCTGAGAGTGCCTATGCTGGGTTTGTGCAGTGGCTGTTTTGAGAAGTGATTTTTCCCCTCTATTTCTTAAAACACCATCTGCATAGTGTGAGTTCAGGGTGAGAGTGTGAGAAGGGAAGGGGCTTGCCTCTAACCCTGATGCTGTGCTTGCACCTGGTGTCATTTGTTCCTCGGGGAAAGCTGGAAGGTACCACAATGCCCTTGGAGCAAGATGGGTGGGTACTAAGCCAAGGTAAGCCCGCCAGGCCCGTCTGACAACCTGGGTCCTGCCAGAGCTGGTTGCTGGGTCCGCGGCCCAGATGATGCCGTTTGTCATCAAGACGCTTCACTCTGTGTCACAGCTTTCAAATTCTCCATCTGTTCTTTGCTTTGAAATCAGCACCAGATACCACTTTCAAAAAAGCCACCCTACCTCTCCCTGTTCAAACTCAACCTTGGAATCCAATATTATGCTCCTTTGGGATACAGGTCTCTTGCCTACACCCCCAGGCACCTTGCAAGTTCTCAAAATGTGTCTGAACAACACACATCTTTCTTATCATTAATTTAAAAATAAACATTTACCTTCCAGAAAGATTTGACAAGTAGAACTGAGACATTAAAGAAAAAGCAAATGGATACGAAGCCTCCAAACTGTAAATATGGACTGGGAGGCCACTCGTACCTTGCTTCATCGGCCATTTGCAAGTCATTTTACAGCATTGTGCCTGGTGCTTCCACCAACCACTTAGAATCAGCCACCAAGAAAAGATGGCAACCAATTTGGTTTCTAACTGTTTTAAATTGACACTCGGTTCCTATATTATTCAAAAACACTTTTAGACACTATTCCTTAGAGAGATGTCCTCTGGGCACTGAGAGTGAAAGTGGGCAGATTTGGTCTCTGTCCCCAAGTGGCTTCCATAAAAGAGGACACATATATACAAAATAAATTATACACACAGTATAAGGTAACAATGTGATGTTAAATTCCTAACGACACAAAAGACACTAAGCTTGTTCCATACAGTGCATAACAGGATTTGTGGAGGAAGCAGAGCCTAAACTGGGGAAAAAAGAATGACCCAGACAGAAGGGGGCAGGGAAGAGGGGACTTAGGACAAGCCTTTCCCAGCAAGACCACATGTGTGCAAAAAGCCATGAAGGACAATCAACAACAAAAAAACCAAACAATCCAATTTAAAAATGGTCAAAGGGCTTAAACATTTCTCCAAAGAATATATACAAATGGCAAACCAGCAGATGAAAAGATGCTCAAATCACTAGTCATCAGGGAAATGCAAATCAAAACCACAATGAGATTAACGTCTTGTGCCATTAGGATGGCCACTATAGAAAACAAAAGGGAAAATAACAAATATTTGCAAAATGTGGAGCAACTGAAGCCCGTGTGTACTGCCAGTGGGAATATAAAATGGTATAGCCACTTGGGAAAACAGTATAGAGGTTTGTCAAAAAATTAAAAATAGAATTACCATATGATCCAGTAATCTCACTTCTGAGTATATATCCAAAAGTATTAAAACAGGACCTCAAAGAGATATTTGAACACGTTTATAGCAGCATTATTTACAACAGCCAAGAGACAAAAGCAACCTAAATGTCCATCAATGAATAAAGAAAATGCGGTATATATACAATGAAATATTATTCAGCCTTTAAAAAAGGAAATCCTGTCATATGTTACAACATTGCTAAACCTTGAGGATATGATGCTAAGTGAAATAAGCCAATCACAGAAGGACAAATACTACATGATTCCACTTACATGAGATCTAAAGTAGTCAAACTCTTAGAAACAGAAATAGAATGGTGGTGGCCAGGGACCAGGAAGAGAGGGAAGTAGGGAGTTGTTGTTCAATGGATATAGAGTTTCAGTTTTGCAAGATAAAGTTCCAGGGATCTGTAGCACAACAATGTGCACGTTGTTACTACTGTGCACTTAAAAATGGTTAAGATGGTAAATTTTATGTTTTTGGACACAATTGGAAAAATAAACAAAAAAGATACAAGAAAAGCAGATGCTGCCAGATGCCCCTCTTTCTCCAGCACCCACACAGAGTAGTTTACTGAATGGATGATGCGATAATTGAATAAAACAAAAAGAAATAGCCCTGTGTGCTATGGGTTGGACAGGATTATCCTTGGCACCATTATCCACAAATGCTCTAGCTCTGCCTTCTTGGCTTCCTTTGCTAAATCTTCCCTGTGGCTCTCCTGCTAGTCACATTCCCAGAGATGGCCTCTTCTTGATACTGCTCTGCAGTAATGCAGAACCTTTTGTCTTGCCCCTCTGGAAACAAGTTCTCATGCACACAGAGGTTATCCTTCCATGGGGAGAGGAAATATTTTCACAGGAGCAAACTTTGGCTCTAGGCTCAACACCCTTAAGAGCATCTTGTGCTGGGCTGCCACCAGGCCACTGCCTCCTCTCTGTTTGTTCTGGATCTTGACCTCAGGCCACCCTTTGATTTATAGATGGGTCAGCTCCTTCCCTTTCTTTCCCCAGAATGGCAGACAAGAGTTCTGACCCCTCTGAGACCAAGTCATCCAGTCAGCGCCAGGCCACCATGCCTGGAGGAATCCGGGGGCTTGGAGAGGGTCCAGGGCTGGCTGTAGCAGTGATGAAAGGACTGGAAATCAAGGCAAACAGTGGGCTTGGGGAGCCTCAACAGAACCTTCAACGACACTGGCGACAACATCCAGCTGCTTCCTCCCTCTCCCGAGGGCCCAACAAGGGGGAGATGCTTAATTGTGCTGAAGACAGTAGAATTCAGATTAACAGCTTCTGCCACAAAGAAGTTTAACACAAAAGTGGGCTCCTCAGAGAGGGGACAGAAACACTTTGCCCAGATCCTTAAGGAAAATCTTTTTCCCCTGGGATAAAATATTCACAAAACCCTCAGCTTTATAGCATGTGGCCCAAAGGAAGCCCTCATAAGTGGCAGCTAGTATTAACTTCCCTTCTTGATCTTACGCTTTTATAAAATAAAAAACATCTTCATACAGCTTCCAATAAAAGCCAATGGCAAGAAAATGCCTGTGAAGTCAGAATAGTGGTCATCTTGGTGGGGGCAGGAGCACTGACTGGGAAAGGGGCCAAGGGGTGTTAGCAGTGGGGACGCATGAGTGCGTGTATGAGAAAATTCACCAAGATGTACACGTACAGCCCTGCACGGTCAGTACCTTCGTGTTATACCTCCACAGAAAGGTTTAAAAGAAAAAGGGAAAAATGGACAAAAACAAAACCTCTGTAGCAGTCAGAAATTCCTTTTTCATGTTGAGTCCAGTAAAACTTTCAGTGATGGCGGAAATATTCTCCCTCTGTGCTTTCCAGTAGAGGAGCCAGCAGCCACATGTGGTTATTGAGCACTTGAAACGTGGCTGACGCGACTTAAAAACTGAACTTCTAATTTAATTTTGATAAACTTAATTTAAATAACTACACATGGCTGGTGACCGCCTTATTAGGCAGTGCAACTCTAAGATATCGAGAGCCTCCAAGACAAAGACTCCTTTTCCTTTGCATCTCCCTCAAAGCACCCAGTGGACCAGAATACATCATATCATATTAGTAGCCAAATAAATAACTGAAAATAGCATGTATTTCATAACATGTAGTCTCATGTAGGAATAAATGGGAATGAACTGACATATACAACATGGATTAATCTAAAAATTATTATTTTGAGTGAAAGAAACCTTACACAAGAGCACACGCTGTAGGAGTCCATCAATATGAAGTTCTAGAAGCAGCAACAGTAAGAGCTGGTAATAAAGGTCACAGCAGTGGTCGCCTCAGGGGTGGGAGGAGTGGACTGGACAGGGACATAAGAGAAGTTTTGGGGATGATGGAAATATTCTATATCTTGGTAAAGGTAGTAGTTTCACAGTTGTGTACAACTGTTAAAACACAGACTGCAATCTTAAGATTTGTGTATTTTATGTAAATTGTACCTCCACTTAAAAAGACACACACACAAAAAATTTATGTAACAAATGAGATTTACAACGTACTTTTCACATACATTTTATTTTTCATTTTTCAATAGCCACATCTCAGCACCTTGGGACAAGCATCTTAACATCTGACAGACAAAGAAAATATTTAATAAAAAGATAAGCCATGTGTCTAAGCAGGAGTCCTGAATAGGCAGCGTCAAAGCCAAGCCCTTATCACATGCCATCCACTTTCCTAAGGGATCAAAGTCAGTCCTTCTCAGAGAGCCACCCTTCCCAGGACACCCATGGGAGACCTTACCAACACTCGGCCATCGGGCTTGGGCTGCCGGGCCAGGCTCACCCCCATCCACTCATCATCCCGGTCTTCCCGACAGGTCTTTCCACAGGGTGTGCCCCGACTCTTCCCTGGAAGGAAAAGAGAACAGCTAGACTCGGATTGAGGAATGATGTTCTGCTGGCTTCTTTTCAAAGGGGGGCCCACAACAGCCCAAATGTTTGTAACCCGTGAGGAAACAAGGAACTTGCAACAAAATGTACATCAACTCCATCACTATGCACCGTACGCTGTTGAAGGCAGCCAATTATTTTTTACACAGCAAGACTTTCTCGATGAAGGAAGCAGTGCACTGATTTATGTTCTGAAACAAGATCCTTAATTTGTTCTGTACCAATAACAAACAGTTCATAAGCCAGTCATTTTGAGGAGCTCTAGAGAACACCATGGATACCTCTCCTTTTCGCTAAAGAAAATCAAGACAAATCTTTATTTTAAAATAACAATTAGAAGACCTTGATGGGAAAGGACTTTGGAGAAAGGACTCGAAGTGTTAACTATAACAAGAGAGCTCCTACTTATTGAGTACCTCCTATGTGCCGAGCACAGTTCTGCGTTCCCACCTCTGTTCTCTCACTTAACCCTCTCAAGGCCATCCTTGTGAGGTAGGTACCTTAGTCTTGAATTTACAGGTGAGGGAACTGAGGCCCAAGAGGCTACAGGACATTCCCAGTAAGTCCCAACTGGGCTTTGAATCTAGGCAGAAGCATCTGATTCCAAAGATGCTATATTTTCCACTAGACCAAAGTGAGCTTTTAAAAACATCCATCTGATTATCTTTCCCTACTTAAAATGCAAAACCTAAAATTGATTTCAATGGCCTCCCCCCTCATACGGAGAAAAAAGTCCTAACACCCTACCCTGGCCTGCCAGGCCCTGTGTGATCCAGTCCCAGCTCACCTTGCCGGCCTCCTCTGCTCCCACTCTCTCCTGCTCAGCAACCCAGCTGCACCGTCCTCACTCTGTACTTCAGAACGACACAATCTCTGCTTGGAGTTTCGGTGTCTGGTACCTACCCAGCTAGCCACTGTGCATCCTTCTAATCATGTGGAAAGATCCCCAGAGAAGCCTTTCCTGACCCTCCACTCTAGATTAGATCAAATACCTTCCCTCTAGTCTTCTCTCACTACTCAATTATTTGTTTTAATGTTCTCTTTTGCCCACTAATTTATGAGGCTAAGGATGGTAGGATCCTTGTTTGTTTGGGTCACCAGTGTATCCAGTGCTTAATAACTAATAGTTACTCAATATGTATTTGGTGGAGGGAGGGAAAGAAAGAGGGATGGATGGATAGATGAATGGGGAGTGATGAGGCCACCCTGGGAAGAAAAAGAGCAAAGTGTGAGGGTGCAGAACCCACTTCCACCTTGGCAGTGATGTCCACTCACCTCGAGCCATGTCCAGTTCGGTGCATCTCCGGTCAGGGTTCGTATGAACGCGGCATTTAAACACAGCCCCAGGGGACTTCACTGAAGCGCTGTATTTGGAATCTGCCTTTGGCGCACCCACAAGGACCCTGCACATGAAGAGGACAGGGCTTTCTGTCACAACCCAGTATCAGAAAAGAGAAGGCAGGTGGTTAAATGCTAAGCCAGCCAGGGGTGGGCTGTCTGAATGCTTGCTGGGAAACCATATTAGACTGTGCTGTGTGGGCTGGGTGTGGGGGGTGTCCTACAGTGAACCTGTTAGATCTTCCCCAGGCACATTAAAAGCTCAACGAGCTGGGTGTTGGTGCATGGCTATAGTCCCAGCTACTCAAGAGGCTAAGGCAGGAGGATCACTTAAGCCCAGGAGTTCAAGTCCAGTCTCAGCAACACGGTGAGACCCTGTCTCTCAAAAATAAAAGCTTATGTGATGGTTGGGAACACATATAGCCAACAAAAGGTTCCTATCCGGAACCTATAAAGAACTCCTGTAAATCAATAACAAAAATACAGACAAACCAATAGAATAATGGGCCAAAGACTTGAACAGATACTTCACAAAAGAAGATAACCAACTGGCCAATAAACACATGAAAAGGTGCTCAACTATATTAGTTATCAGGGAAATCCAAATGAGACACCACTTCACACCAACAAGCAGGCTAAAACCAAAAAGACTGGAAATGCCAAGTGCTGGCAAGGATGTAGAGCAACTGGAACCTTCATACACTGCCGGTGGGAGTGTAAACTGACAAAACCACTTTGGAAAACTATTCGACAGTTTCTAATGGAGCCAAACATATGCCTATCCTATGACCCAGCAATTCCATTTCTAGGAATATGTTCAATAGAAATACATACACGTCTACCAGGAGATGTACAAAATGTTCACAGCTGAGCACGTAATAGCCAAAAACAAAAAGAAACCTAAAGGCCCATTAATGTTAGAGTGGAAAAATAAATGATGGTATAACAGTAAATAGAATTCTACACAGCAAGGGAAATCAATGAACAACATTCAATTGCAACCACATAGATGAATCTCACAAACAAAACGCTGAGCAAAAGATGCCAGACACAACAGCATCCTGTCTTATTCCATTTGTCTGAAGGTCAAACGCAGGTAAAATTTAACTATGGTGTTAGAGGGCAGGATAACGGTTACCTCTGGGGAGGAGAAAGGGGGACTGTAATTAGAGAGGGGGGTACTTATGCAGGTGCTGACAACATTCTATTTTTCAACCTCAATGTGTTTACATAAATTTGTGATAATTCATTTAATTGTATACAATATGGATAGTTTTCTGGATTGTGTTACATTTCAATAGGAAGTAGGAAATTGAGAGATACTATTTCTCTTCTGTCCTCCCCTCTTCTCAGTGCCTCTCGTCCCCCATCACGCATGTACAACATGGACATTTAGGCGGAAATAAGGAAAAAGCAGCTGCAGTGTGGACTACAAACTGCATCCTCTCCCCCAATACAGAAGTAGAATAGTTTGCACGTAAACAGGGACAAGAAGGAAGCTCTGAATTCTCCATCTTGAACTGAAATGCTGCGTGGGGGTGGGCCATGGCCAGCAGGGGCCTCCCCTGGCTAGAGGGAAAGAGCAGGACCCACCAAGAAGATGGAAGAGATAGGTTTGGGTTCTGCACCGTGTGGGTGCAGAACATGGGGGAAATAACAGTAAGTTCCCCTCCAGATGTCACGAAAACAATTTTGACCTACAGCTTTATGCATTGTTTCCGGAAAGTAGTCAACTGAAGATCTACAGCAAAGAATACTAAACAACACTAATCGGGTATGGTTTGTGCTGAGCTATGAGCCATTTGGAAAAGGTCTTGGAGAATGAGACTTTAAACAAAATCCTCACTGATGTTCAAAGAGTAGAAAATTCCAAGCCACTGCTCAAAGAGAACATGAGCAGCTCCGTATCTCCAGCAGTCTGGAAAGGAGATGGAATTCACTTCACAAGGGTAATTAGGCACATTATGAAATTTATCAACTCCTCCATGCCCTGGAATAGAATGCATTATCCATTATGTATTGTATCTGTGCAAAAGGTGTATAGCAGAGGTTAGAATGATCCTAGACAGCCTCCCGGGAATGCAGAAAGCTGACCCAGGCTCCCCTCACTCTGTCCCAAGACTGCCTTCATCTTGGGATCTCGGTCATTCATCCCTGGCCTCAGAATGACACTGCTCCCCACCAGACTCTGGCTGTGCAAAGGGTAGACCAACAAGGCCTCTATAGCATAGGACAGAAGCCTGAGACCCGTAAAGGGGACTTCAGCAAAGGCTAGCAGATATCACAAGTGACATTATCACTGACCTGGCTCAGAGACAACGTGTCAGTCTTCACAGGAAGGTGTATGGGACCCATCTTAAATCCCCCTGCTCCTGACCTCAAGCCCTCTACACCCAGAACCCAAAAGATCTCTGAGGACACAAAGAGCCAGGGAGATCCACCCCTCACTGAAGCGTCTCCTTCCAGGGCAGTCTTGGAGTGTCTGTATTTGATTCCTCAAGGAAGATGCCCTGCTGTGAGAGAAGACAGGCCCCCAACAGTGAGTGAGGGCACCCGAGCCGCCCTCTGGTCCCTCAATAATGCCCTGAGAAGCTCCCCTCTGGGTTCTTACTGGGCCACAGCTACAGAATTCCCAAGCAGAAGCAGGGCTGGAACCCACAGCCTTTTGGAAATCTAGGCAAGCACTTTGCCAAACAGAACACATGGCCTCCCTCACCCACACAAGGGCAATTTGGCCGGCCCTTCACTGCTCTAACTCAAATGCATGATGACATACACAACAAAACCCCAGCGAGAAGAAAGCCACATTAAGGGATCAATTTCCCCCTTTGCTTCTGGGGCTGAGCTTTAGAGCCACCGGGGCAGGTCGAGGATTGCTCTCTGTAATGCCAGCTGTTTTCACAGGTGAGAAGAATTAGCAGCTTGGCCTCTCTAAACTGCCCAAACATCCTCAGCCTTTCTGCAGGTCAGGTTCTAAGAGTTGGGAGCATAAAAAAAATACCTCCTCCACTGAAAACCCCAGGGCCACAGGGTCCAAATATTCCCACCAACTTCAAATTTATCTCAACACAGTGAATAATTGCCACTTGTAATTCATTTTGTAAAAATCACAAAAAAATAAACAAGAGTGAGAAGTCATCTCCTACAAGGGAAAGGAAATGGCTGCAAGAAACAACAGGCTCTTCATCTATTGTGTCCTCCGAACTGGCACTGAAATGCTGGAAATTCTCGATAGTGCCACTGCTCCAAATTCACAGACACAGATTCGTAGGTTATCCAAGCAGGAAGGGACCCTGGAGAGCTTAATTCCCAGGCACTGCTTCCCCCAGCCTGGAGCCAAGACTGAGAGCGGCAAAATTTACACCAAAATCTAAAGTAAAGGGACCTGCTGAATTATTATTTCCTTCCAAACCCAAGGTACTCAATGGTTCTGACAACAATGGCCGATTCAAACCCTGATAACAACCCTTTCGTTCAAACTTCTAATCAGCTGGTCAGATGAGAAGGTTTTTCCCAAATCCTGTGCAATGGAAAATGAAGCAAGAGATAAGGGGGTGTGCGCGCACACACGTGCATGACACTCACGGGGCGCCACACTGGAGAATGTGCTTGTATCTCTGTGTTTACAGAACATCGTGGCTTCCTCCACAGCCCAGCACTGCCCTGTACCTGGGCCACTATCCAACAAGACTGTGCTGGCCAGCCCATGAGCAAGTCTTCTCTGAAGTTAATTCAACCGGCTGTTTGCCAGGCTGATCCCAAAAGATACAGGCATTACAGTGGCCCAGAGTTCAGGACAAGCCACTGAAAAGATGCCATCTGCTTTTTCTCTCATTATCTTCTGAGTTATAAAGAGACATCACAGTTACTTCAAACATCCCCCAAAATCTTCCCTGGTACTCTTGACAACAAAATGTTTCTTTCCTCTGTACGGTTACCATATAAAAGGGCCTGAGTGTCACCGAAAACAGGCTCCCATCAGTGAACCATCAAGGTGATTCTCACCTTTGCTTTGTCCTCAGACCAGCAGCAGGGGGAACACCTGGAGCTTGACAGAAATGCAGAAATCTCAGGCCCCATCCCCAGCCCATTAAATCAGAATGTGCATTTTAATAAGATTTCCAGGTGATGTATAGTCTAAGAAGTACTATATAACCACCTACATGGATTATAAATAATCATGTTCATTTGGAGCCAGCATGAAGAGATTGCCCTTGACAAAGTGGGGACCTCCACCTATTCCATCCCCAGTCAAAGATGCCACAAACTGGCCGGGCGCAGTGGCTCACGCCTGTAATCCTAGCACTCTGGGAGGCCGAGGCGGGTGGATCGTTTGAGCTCAGGAGTTCGAGACCAGCCTGAGCAAGAGCGAGACCCCATCTCTACCAAATATAGAAAGAAATTAATTGGACAGCTAAAAATATATAGAAAAAATTAGCCGGGCATGGTGGCATGTGCCTGTAGTCCCAGCTACTTGGGAGGCTGAGGCAGGAGGATCGCTTGAGCCCAGGAGTTGGAGGTTGCTGTGAGCTGGGCTGACGCCACGGCACTCTAGCCCGGGCAACAGAGTGAGACTCTGGCTCAAAAAAAAAAAAAAAAAAAAAAGATGCCACAAACTGCAAAGACATTTTAGAGTCCTCTCATTAACCCAGGACTCTAGATTTCTAGTTAGGCAACCAGCATTTCGCAGGCACTTAGAGGGTGCAGGTGCTGGGCGAGCCTCATTACAGACAGTATCAAACTGAGTCTTCACAGCAAACCCTGCAGGAGGTACTAATATTATCCCCATTTTACAGATGGGGAAGCAGGTGTCCAGCAGTGGTCATGGGACTTGTCCCAACCCACAAATCACGTTAAGAGACCAAGCTGCAGCATGCACCCTGGCAGCTGCGTGCATCCCCCATGCCCTAACCTACCCGCCCCACATCAGCCAGAAAGGAGGAAAAGAGAAACCAGCAGGCACCCAGTGCTCCTCTGCTGCCAACTGCCCACATGTGTGACCCCTGCCTGAGAAAGCCCAAGTCAGAACTTTGATTTGGAAGCTCTGTCATGTCAAAGGACACGC